TAATTCGCTGGCTTTTTTTTCTACAATATTTGTATAAAATTTGTATTTGTATACAATTGAATCGAAGTAAAATATTTGTAAATTGTATACTTAAGTGTATAGCACGGAGATATATATTTTTGTATATGTAGATACAATTTTCTCTCGCTTTATAAAAACAAAACACAATTTATACACTTTTGTTGTATAAAGGGAGAGTGACGCAGAGGGAGAGTGGTGAGCGAGAATGGGAGATGGCGAGCGAGAATGGAAGAGTGGCGAGCGGGAGTTTTCGGAGAGAGAAGACTGACAAACTCGGGCAAACGTTTGTTATAAAACACAATTAAATCAAACAATAGCTATTCTATTTATTTTAGGTTATTAATTTGTTATTACATACAATTATCCCTAATTTAAATTATATAAAAATATTATGTAATTATATTTTTTATTTATATATCAAACACATGAAGTTATATAAATTTGTTTTACTAAAATCCCATCAAAGGTTGATTTTATTTAGACATAACATGATAACATAGGAATGCTATCAACAAAGACAGTAATGAGTAAAAAGTATTTTTATTTTAGAGATATCGAATTAGAGTTTTAATTGCAACTGCCTTTGTAACGTGTGACCAAGTCCAATCAAGAATCTTTGCTATCGTTATTTTTTTTGGTTAATAATTCTGTATGGGTTTGGATATAGTTTTGTGGTTACATTCTATTTGAACTCATAATTTTGACATGATATATAAAAGAATAATGTTAAAATTTATTAAAATATTGATAGTAGTATGTAAAAGCAATTCAATTTTCTAATAAATTTCTTATGGTAAATTTTAAATTTAAATTCTCAATATGCTACTCACGGCGAGACATAAAAAATGTTCTGAAGCGTAAATTGAAAATGTAAATTCATAAGATGTAAGTCCTAAAATTCGAGACATAAGTCCCTGAACATAAAAATGTATACGCTCTGGCGTTTTAATTTTTTTTTTGCTTTAAATCATAATTTTATTATTGGTATAATGATTTTTCTTAAATAATAATGATTAATGATAATCCTTTTTTCTTCATTGAATATTAATACTTATCTCACATAAAAATCATCATTTGTTGAAAAGTTTATTTTTCCTTATTTTATTAGTAATAAAATTATAAAATTGAATATACAACACGTCAAAATCTAAAGTGAGAATCTTATTCCTATATTACACTTGTATAATTCTTTTCATATTATAATTATTACTCCTTCAATTTCATAAGCATTTGTAAAGTTACATTATTATAAATTATTGTAAAAGTCATATAAATATTTCTTATTAATTAAATTGAAACATTAATAATAATATCTTCTTAATAATTGAACATATTTTAAATCGAAAATGGACAAGCTCCAAGAGAAAAAAAAAAAATCAACGTCAGTGTGAAGTCCTGGTCCAGCTGGTCTCCTTAATTTTCAAATTTCAAAATTTGTTCATCTGAGCCTTAAATTCACTATATTACAAACCCTAAAACGCTTTACTGTATTTTTTCTTCTCATTTCATTTGTATTCCAGATTTACTCATTTTAATTTCTGCATATTTTGTTGAGATTTGAGTTTGAAAATGCGTGAAATCCTTCATATTCAAGGTGGACAATGCGGTAACCAAATTGGTGCCAAGTTTTGGGAAGTTGTTTGTGCGGAACACGGCATTGATTCTACCGGACGTTACAGCGGTGATTCTGATCTCCAGCTTGAGAGAATTAATGTCTATTACAATGAGGCTACCTGTGGAAGGTTTGTTCCTAGGGCTGTTCTTATGGATCTGGAGCCTGGTACCATGGACAGTATTAGATCTGGTCCTTATGGACAGATCTTCCGTCCTGATAACTTTGTTTTTGGACAATCTGGTGCTGGTAACAATTGGGCCAAGGGACATTACACCGAAGGTGCTGAATTGATTGATGCCGTTCTCGATGTTGTTCGTAAGGAAGCTGAGAACTGTGACTGCCTTCAAGGTTTGTGTTTAGGCATTTTTGTTTTTGTACATCTGTGCATTTTTTTTTGACGTTTTCTGTGTTTAATTTTCAGGATTTCAAGTGTGCCATTCATTGGGTGGAGGAACGGGATCTGGTATGGGTACGCTTTTGATCTCAAAGATCAGAGAAGAATACCCAGACAGAATGATGCTTACCTTCTCCGTTTTCCCTTCACCTAAGGTTTCTGATACTGTTGTTGAGCCTTATAATGCTACCTTGTCTGTGCATCAATTGGTTGAAAATGCTGATGAGTGCATGGTTCTCGACAACGAGGCTCTATACGATATCTGCTTCAGAACCCTAAAGCTTACCACCCCAAGCTGTAAGTCATTGTTTGCGCTCTCATCTGTTTGATTTTTGTATAGTTAGTTGTTGTCAGTTCTTTTCGGGTTCACATGGAATCATCTGTTTTTAATCTCATGGAACAGTTGGAGATCTAAATCATCTGATATCAGCTACAATGTCTGGTGTCACCTGTTGCTTGCGTTTCCCTGGACAGTTGAACTCTGATCTTAGGAAGTTAGCTGTGAATCTGATTCCATTCCCTAGGCTCCATTTCTTCATGGTTGGTTTTGCACCACTGACTTCACGTGGTTCTCAGCAATACAGGGCTTTGACAGTGCCAGAGCTTACACAGCAAATGTGGGATGCCAAGAACATGATGTGCGCAGCTGACCCACGTCATGGAAGATACTTGACTGCCTCTGCTATGTTCAGGGGTAAGATGAGCACGAAAGAAGTGGATGAACAGATGCTCAATGTGCAAAACAAGAACTCTTCCTACTTTGTTGAATGGATTCCAAACAATGTCAAGTCAACTGTTTGTGATATCCCACCAACCGGGCTTAAAATGGCATCTACCTTCATTGGGAACTCAACATCTATTCAAGAGATGTTTAGGCGTGTGAGCGAGCAGTTCACTGCTATGTTTAGGAGAAAAGCTTTCTTGCATTGGTACACTGGGGAAGGAATGGACGAGATGGAGTTCACTGAGGCAGAGAGTAACATGAATGATCTGGTATCTGAATATCAGCAGTACCAGGACGCCACTGCTGATGATGAGGGAGAATATTACGAGGAGGAAGATGAAGAGGATGTCAATGAGAATTAAACCCCAACTTCCTGTTGATGTTCTTTCGGCAATTGCAATGTAATGTAATGTGTCTTGATAGCGAGTGCTATCCTGTAATATTTTTTGTTGTTGTTACTTAATTATTCTGGTGTTTTGTGACTATTAAGTTTCTATTGCTATTTAGAGTAGGCTCTCTGTATTGCCTTTTACTACTAGTATTATTTTGTTCTATTTCATCTCTTCTTGTTTATTTATATGTGTTTCTTCATGAGTTGTTGCTGTTTAATACTTTGATATGCAGGTCAAAGTTGGTTTAGTTTTGACTGACCGAGCCAGCTCCATGAAATTGCTTTGGAATTCTTACCTCAAAAGTTCATTTAGCCAATTACTGGGTTCTACATTTGCAAGCCTTGTTTATTATGATTATGCTAAATACATATCTCATAACCAAAGGAGAGATGTGGACAAATTTATTAGCATATCTGTAATTAAAAAAGGGATTCTTAGACACTGTAGGACCTATTTTGTTCAGTGACATGGAGAAGCCATGTTTCGATTTTTGACACTGAAGGATGATATACTTTGTTAATGCTTAGATGCTGATTTTAAGTTTTAAACTTCAGGTTCTAACAAGGGACATGATTGGAGAAAGACTCTGTACATGAAAAAGACAAGCTGTCACAACTGCTAACTCTACTGTGGCTGGCGCATGTCTTCTCATAACAACAGACTCAGCTAATGGCTCCATCCAAAGGGTTCGTAAATCTACTCCTAAGTTATAAAGGAGTCTTTAGTTTGAGTCGTATTAATTAGAGTTAGTTAGTCGAATCATGTATGTTTTAGTCTAGCCTCTTTACATCATTGTTTTGATGTTCTCTTGGGTAGAGTTGCCTAGGAGTGTCAATAAGAATTAGTTGATGTATTGGTGCAACAAAGTTGCTGCTTGTTTATGCTCTTATTTTCGAGATCTGAGTTGGTGGCTAGAGTTAGCCTTGTTGGGTTCTTGAAGTCTAGATCAACTAGGGTTAGTTGGTTTAGTGGACAATAGAGTTATAGTTTAGCTTCCTTTGCAGTAGAGTTGCTACAGTAAAGTGAAAGGGATTAAGAGTTTAATTCATATGTTGCAAAAGTTTGTAATATGAAGCTTTTTTCGTTTTGAGTGAAATGGAGTTTGGGTTGAATCCCGCGAGTACAGGTCGTGATTTTCATCTCCCTTTGAGCAAGGAGGTTTCTTTGTAAAATCCTAGTACCTAATTTACTTTGAGTTATTCATTTTTCGCACTATTATTCTGTCAGGGACCTAATCCAATGGATGTGTACAATCTAACCATTCAGTTCTACCTAATCAGGATATCTAATGCATTGTTATTTTACTATCGGATTTTCCCATGAAAATAATTGTCAAACACTTAAATAAAGTAGTGTATGAGCTAGTTTTTGATAGTATATTTTGAGTTTATGAAGTTGTTTTGGAAAAATAGATTTCAAAATTAAAAGTTGTGTTTGAACACGTAAAATGTTCGAAAAAAATTAAAATTGTCAATGAAAATGAAATTTTATCCAAAAAGTAATTCGGGCTAGCATTTAGAATTTGATTTTCTTTAAAGAAAAAGACAAATCAAATGTCATGAACAATTTTTCTTTATTTTATAAAATATGGCCAAAACTGGAGCTAGTCAAAGGTGAATTGAAGAGGGTTTACACCTTGCTGCAATTTTTTTATGGTTCAAAATAAATGATTTTTTCATTTTATTAATTTAAAGTAATTAATTTTTTTCAATCAAAATTACTCTTTAATGAGGTTTTCAACAACCTAGTTTTAACAAGGAAGTCAAGTAAAAAAGATTAGAAAATATATATGTTTTATATTTCCTCACGTTAAGAAAACTTAAATTACACGTATAATTTACCAAGTTAATGTTATTAATCATATTTATAAATTTGAATTTGATTACTGTAACTTTAATTGTACAAAGAATTCTTAATTTGCTAAAGATAGACAAATAAAGTAAAATATTTATTTTTGATATGTAATAATTTCTAAATATATAAAAATCTTATGTTGTTTTACCGCCTTTTCATTTTTTTAAAGTATTCTTAACTTTTGAAATAGTCCCGCGCTTGTTATAAAGTCCCTCATCACATTCTCCTGCTCTTTACCTCCTTATTCACAACACACTGCAATTCCCCCCTCAAAAAAAAAAAACTCTGAGAGATGAAGAAAGTGAAAACCAAAGCTGAAAATATAGGCAAAGGAAAAGTAACTCCTATCCAAGTTGCTTTCATCGTTGATCGTTACCTCTCCGATAACGATTTCTCCGAAACCCGCTCCACTTTCTGCTCTGAAGCTTCTCATATCCTATCCAACTTGCCTGTCAAGGAGGTAATAAATTCGCGCACATACATATGGATTCATTTTAGAATCTCTAATGTTTTAATGTATTACTTGAATAAATTGTTTTGTGACAGGCGCCGAGGAGTTTATTGAGTTTAGGAGCAATGTTGGATGAGTACATATGTTTGAAAGAGCAAAAAGTTTTTTTAGAGCAAGAGAAATTGCAGGTTCAGAATTTGTTAAGGGGGATGCAACAAGTTATGAATGGTTATAATGCAAGTGCAAATCTGCTGCCCTCTGCCCTAGTTCCTGCTTCTTCAGGACCTTTGCTCCAACAGTCTTCACCAGGTTTCATTTCTGGTCTTCTTTTTTTATTGCTAGTTATCCTATATATACTTGTCTATGTGTTTGTTATATGGGATCTTTACAACATATCCATAGGCCATAAAGTGAAGTCTAGGGAGGTAAAGCATAAGCAAATCTTATGGAGATAGAGACACTCTTATGAAATGAAGAAAACATGACAACTGATATGAAAACCAATATTGGAACATACAAAAGAGGAAAAACATTAGCAGCATTATTATATGGTTATAGATATCAAAAAAAAAGAAAAAGAAACTACACGAATAAGCCTAAGACTACGGAAAACTTGTTCATGGGGTTTGCTCAGTAGTTGTGAGAGCCAGTAGCTCCAAGATTTTGCCTATAATGATTGTATCCAACAAAACATATTCTAATTTTTTCTGGGTCGTTGAGTACTCATTAGTTGAGCTGCAAGGTCTCAGACAGGAAGAACTATTATTTCTCTTCATACTTCGGCATTTGTTTAAGGTTGTTTTTCAACAAAAATACACTTAGGTCCCAGATTCCCAACTTTATATATATAAATCCTTAAGACCTTAAGATATATAACCTTGAGTCTCAAATTTCCAATTTTGACATCGATGGAGCTACAAGATATGGAGAAATCCTTGTACTTGCAAATCCTTAAGACCTTTACAGTCTCTGTATTAACTTGAAGGACGATGTTGTAGGTGCACACATCATGATGTTTCCTATTGGCTTTGCATTTAGCTTGTACCAGTAGTTTTCTGGTTTTGGCTGATGAACTTAAGTTGGATTTTCTTCTTCTTTTGACTCTTTCAATCAACTAACATTTAATTTCAACACAAACAACCTACCTAACCACTCAAAACTTACTTTTTATGTACACTGATGTGATTGCCAAATGGCAATTGCAATAAGCTGTAAAACATTTACTTGATGTCTTATTAAATTTGGCTCTCAGTCGATGGCGCTTATATTACATTGTGGCATAGTGGACATATATTCACAGATAGAGTTGCAGGACTTCCAAGGAAAAATATAGGGATGTAGCATCATCATTAACCAGACAGGATTGAGTTTGTGTCATTACCATGATACGATAATGATCTATTGTTTATTCCCTGAAAGATATACTATTCCATGTTTTTGAATGCCTATACCATTCCTTAAATGCAAGAATCAGGCGATAATCTATTCTTAGACCAATCATTTTGGACAAATTATCTGGTAGTGACATTAAATCGTTACAAATTTATCAGGTTATTGTTCTGCATACACTAGTCCAGCTCTTATGTCAGCATCAATGCCTTCCAAAGCTGCTGCTGATACCATGAAATTTTCTACTCCAAGTTCCGTCCCGACAACTTCAAAAAGGAAAGGGTCCAAGGATGTTGTTTCAGATGCTTCCATAGCTGCCAAGAAATATCGTACACGGTCACCCACAAATCAGTTGTCACTTAAAGGTAAATTTTATTGGTGTTAGACTTTGTGTATCTCATGTCTTAATATTATGGTGATCACTGAGTAGTTGGTACCGTTTTCCTTGCAGGGGCTAGTTCAATGCCACAAGATGATAAGCATAACAATAATTTGAAGAGCTCTGCGGTTCAGCCATCAGATCCCATTGATGAACCTAAGAGGTCACCAGTCCAAGGATCTAACAAAAATTCATCAGTCCAAGGATCTAACAATGCGAAGTGTTTGTCTGAGCACCCCATTCAATCCCCTCTAACTAATTATTCTGACCCTAAGACACCTCCAATACAATCTTCATCCCAAACTGACAAATCTATATCTCCGCTTGGAATTTATTCAACAGCAACTTCCATCAAAGAAGCTGCTCCCTCTCATCTAATGTCGACTAACCACATGATAATCTCTGCAGAGACAATTCAAGTGACCCCCACCAAACAAATAGCATACTATTCCATAGAAAGAAATCACCGTGTTTCGACTTCCTCACCAGTTAATGCAAACTTGAATAGGTCTGTGAAGAGAGATCAAGTAAAAGGTAGGTTAGATTTTGATGCCTCAGACATTCCAAGTAGTTCAGAGGTACCACAAGTTCCTGACAGGATTTTAACATCTGATTCTGAGAAGGAAGGAGATACTTTTGACTTGGATTTATCTAACTTTGGTCTTCTGGGAGAGAATTTCAATCTTGCTGAGCTGCTGCATCATTTCGACATTGATGTACAAGGGGTTGATCATTCTTGCCAGGACAAACTGGACTTTTTTCCAGATTCCTTTTCAGGGTATAATTTCTTGTTTTTCTGTCCACGAAGAAAGATTTCTTGTTGCATCCTTCATATAATGCCAACTTAGCTACAGAATCTGAGTTTCCATCTAATGTTTAATGCTCAGGTCACCATATGAATCTGGAAATGTCAACATTGACGGAAACCAAATAACATCACAGCTTTCATCGCAAGTCTTTTCAGAGAAGGATACAAGTTTACAAGGTAAAAGAGAATTCTTGACTGAACAATTGAATGTAAACTTCTTTCATGTGAAAGTGATGTGAATACATTTCAATTTTATCATTGATTCTTCAGGTTCAGATACTGTGAAAACTATGAAATCGGTTACCAAATGTGTCCAACTTTTAAGTCCTGGTAAGTGGTAGTTGCTTCACCTTCAGCTTTACTTTTTGTTTTGTACAAAGAGCTAATAGATGCCATAAGACTAATCGATTCTGTATCATTTTACATCTTTGCAGTTAAGAGTAACAGAAGCTCGAGACATTAGAACTTGTGAGCAAGAAATGACTAATTTCTTCAACAGATGGATATGGAGGCTGACATGCTAGAATTCATCACAGCTGACCTTATTTATGAAATCCAATAGAAATTACCTTTTTAAGTTCTAAATTTCGACTATTCATTCATTTGTAAATCTAAGATGGATTTGAGTAAGATAGAAAGCCTCTTAGGTACATTATGTCGTTTGATAAAGTAAAATGCTTATGGTACATGACTTGTATCGCATCAGATGATACATCAAATGAGATAGTTCTCAGTCAAGGTACTTTTCCAGCTTCTCAATTTCTTCTGGGCTTCCAATAAAAATAGGTGTTCGCTGATGTATCTGCATCAAATAAAAGTAATTAAGGTTTTTTTAATCATTATATCACACCACCTACACTTTAAATTCAATCTTCAACTATAAATACTGTTAAAGGATCTTAATTTACGTTTTCCTTGAGTGTAAATTTTAAAATTTACCTGCTCAGGCATGATTTCCAGTATCCTTTGGTTGCCATCTGTTGCTTTGCCACCAGCTTGTTCTATGATATAGCTCATGGGCGCACACTCGTACAATAGCCTCAAGTTCCCATTTTTGCTGTTCTTGTTCTTAGGATTTCCATATATCCCTCCATACAACAACATTCTGTGGATTTCACCCACGAGACAACCTATGTAACGGCCTGAGTATGGCTTGCCATTAGGACCTGGTTGCTTTAAGTGGTCAAGATAACTCTGCAATTTCTCATCCCAGAGATCATAGTTTCCCTCATTAAAAGAATAGATCCTTCCAGCCTTGGGTATTTTGATATCTTCATGTGTCAAAACAAATTCTCCATATGCAGGGTCTAAAGTAAATGCATATACTCCGTTTCCTACCGAGAGTGTGTAGACCACTGAACTTGAATAAAGACAATATCCTGCTGCTACTAAATTGCTCCCTGGCTGACAAACACTGACTATACACTTCTCCCTGGCTTGATCAATCTGAAAATCCAAAAGAAATATACTGCTTTTCAATTTAAAATTTTATGCAACATTGTACTGAAATGAGTACAAAAAATGGAGTGACATGAACAATGATGATTCATATAGCTGACCACAACTTGTACTTAAGTTTCATGTTAGAAATGCGAGATTACCGTGGAATCATCATCCATGTCTACAAGGCATTGCTGATCTGGACCATAAATTCCAAAAATTGATCCAGTGGTTAAGGCAATATCAATGTTAGCAGATCCATCAATGGGGTCAAACACTACAATATAATTTCCAGAATAAGTTTCTTCAACTGCCACGGGTACGTCTTCTTCCTCTGATGCTATTATCCCTGTCCTCCCACTTGATCTTAGACAATTACAGAACAACTACAACACTCAAAGATTACATTTTTACTGATCAGTGCACTAAACTTCACAATAGTCTAAGTGTTAGAAGGTAAAAAAAAAAAAAGCAACAAACCTCGTTAGATATAACATCAAGTTTCTTCTGATCTTCACCTTGGATATTAACAGTGCCTTGAGTTCCAGTAATGTTTACAATACTAGACCTTTGTAAAAGCGATGCGATTTGCTTGCAGGCTAGTGATATGCTCGAAAGAACTATGGCTAATTCTGCATCTATGTTGCCTGCTTGTTCTTGCTGCAACAACCATGTTGTCAAGTTTACCATTTCATATCTGTTTTTCGGTTTCTTGATCTGTGCTGGAGCTGTTTTTGCTCCTTCCAAGCTCGCTGCTTCGCGGCGGATTCTTGAATTAGGACTGAAATTTCCATGGATGAGATGTTGTGATCTCTTGATATTGGTGGGGAAGAGATGGAAATTAGGAGAGAGATGAGAAATGGAAGAAGAACTTGAGCATTTGGTTCCAAGAAGAGCTTCAGCCATTTTCTCCCCATCTCTGAATTGACTACTGGGGTTGCCTGCTTATCTTTTTTCCTTTTGACAATTGTGTGAACATAATTTTTTCACAACAATATCTAAAGGGCTTGAAGATCAAAAGATCATATGTGGCTGAAAATTCAAGGGATCAAAATGGGGTGTCCCTACAAACCTAACAGAAAAGATGCAACCTTTGGACTTAATTAAAAAGAGAAACTTGGGAAAACTACAAGTTAATAAAAGTCATATTTTTGCTCTATTGATTATTGTAGTGTGAAAGACAAAAAGAGCCATTATTTCAATGCTAAAGGAGTCTCTCACACTTCGGATACATAAAAGGGTAGTTCAGTCTCGTGTTTACGCGACCCCTAGGGGTGATTTACGCAGCTTATCCGGATCTAAGTATAAGTGATTGATTTTCATGTTTTGAAACCATGACCTATATGTCACACGAAGACGACACCTTTTTGGGCTTTTCAAAAACTAAGCTAGTAAAAAGGAAATAAGAAACGAACAAAAAACAACAGCTGTAAACTATCTCAACCTATTCTATTTCTGCTTCTGTCTCAATTGGAGTCCTCGCCAACACTATTCCAGTTCAGTCCATTGAGCCTCGACCTCGAGGCTACTCGATGCTTGTAAAATTTTAAGAATATGTGGTAAAATTTTAAGAATATAAGGCATATAAGCACCATTCCAATTGTATAGTGAGTTGAATCACTGCAAAGCTTGTCAAGACTATATAATCATCCAAGTCTTTGCGCTTAGACTTGTGAGAAGAATTTCTTTCAAGTAATATACAAATATACAGCTCTTCATGTGTTTTGTTTGCTTACAAAACTAAAGTAGTTAAAAAACTAATGAATAACCCCTTCAGTTCACATCTGTATTAAGAAAAGTACTTTTCCAATATTTCAACTTCTTCTATGCTTCCAATGTACAATGGAACGCGTTGATGTATCTGCAATGAAAGAAACGGAAGAAAACAAATTAACTAACCTACTTTGCTTGTTGACAGAAGATGTAGCAGTCAGTTTGTTCTCACCTCAACTGGTTGAATATCAAGAATTCTTTGTTGGCCATCCGATCCTTTGCCACCGGCTTGTTTCACAATAAAGCTCATCGGGGCACACTCATACAAAAGCCTCAACTTCCCATTCCTGCTCTTCTTGTCTCTCGGGTACCATATAGAAGAGTCCTATGAAAATCACCAACCAAACTGCCAATGTACCTGGCTGAGTAAGGCTTACCAATAGGACCGGGGTCCTTCAAATGATCGATGTACTTCTTCAATCTGTCGTCCCATAGCTGGTAGTTTCCTTCATTGAACGCGTAGATCTTTCCAGCGTTAGCTACTTGGATGTTTTTTTGAGTCAGAATGAACTCTCCAAACATTGGATCCAAGGTGAAAGAATAAACACCATTTCCCAACGTGAGCACGAAGATCACTGAGCTCGAGTACATGCAGTACCCTGCTGCTAGAAGATTGTTCCCTGGTTGGCACACATTCGCTATGCACCTCTGCTCCACATTGTCAAGCTGCAAGTTTGGACATGTGTATTCGATATGGTTAACTATTCAGGCGAAAAATTAGGCTCCAGAAAGTCAATCAATCTGATAGAATTCATAACTAGATAGACAAAAATGATTATAGCAATTATCTAGCATATATAACAAGTATGACAATAAAAGATCCTACTTCTCCTGACTCTCGATAAGAGAGGATACATAGGTACATACCGTGGTAGAATCTTCAAGATCAAGGAGACAATCGTCATTTGGAGTGTATATACCAAAGATAGAGCCAGTAGATACAGCAGCATCAATATTTGATGATCCATCAAGAGGATCAAACACCACGATATAGTTTCCATAGTAACTCTCCTCTACTGCCACTGGTACATGCTCTTCCTCCGATGCTATGATCCCTGTCCGACCACTTGCCCTCATACAATTAGAGAATACCTGGCCAAGCCATGACCATCTATCTAGCTCAACATGCCATACTAGAGTAATAAATGTTTATCTTGAATCTTCCTATGTTTAACATCTTACTGCAAACAAATAAAGATCACACTAGTAGAACAGATCTTATTGATTTGGAATTAGTGAAAGTCCTAGTAGGTGTACTACAAGAATGAGCTACCTCCCAAGTTTGGTGAGATAATTGGTATCTCTTTACTCTTAACTAACTAAAGATGTCGGGTTCAAAAATTCAAGAACCTTCAAGTAGGAGCTAGGCTCTGCAATTCAGTAAGAATCCAAACGGTTAAACTAACGAACCTCGTTAGAGACAATATCAAGCTTCTTTTGTTCCTCTCCAGTAAGTTTGGAAATGCCTGCTCTTTGAACCAGAGAAGCAATCAGCTTACAAGCCGTCGAAATTCTCGAAAGAACAATAGCATCAATAACTCCATCTTGTTCTTGTTTCAACAGCCAGCTAGTTAAGGTCTGCAGCATATACACACTACTACTCTGTCTCTTAGCCTCTTCTGCAGCACTACTTTTTTCCTAAACCATGCACTTCACATTAGCTCCCTTGTCTTTACATTTTCTTTTTACTATGCTGTTTCTTGTGCATATCCTTTTGTGTTGGAAAAAGAAAAAGCGGGAGAAGCAAGTTGTTGCTACTACTTCCATTTTTGAATCATCATCACTTAGTGACTTGTGATCTACCTCAAAGTTGCAACTATAATTTTCTATCGAAAAACTCTTGTCTAATCTTAATTTCAATTGTTGTACAAATATTATTTCTTTTTAATGTTATATGACTGGACAAGAAGTTATGATCTTATTCATGACACCATATTTTTGTGGTTATAAGAAATTGTTATTTAAAGTAACGCATGTCTAAATATATATTTTTTCTTTCTAACAAAATGTATTAGGGAGGGTCCTTCTTATCCATCTTTTTGGAACTTCCCCTTCTATTCGTGGTTATTAAGCTTTTCAAATTTACCCACCATTGGTACGTCATTTTCTTTTTGATCAGTTCTAAGAAGAATGTTACATATATTTTATTATATGATAAGTATTTAAATATATAAAAAAAAATTAGCCTTGTTAATATCATTTAATTTTAAAGATGGTACTTTAACACATTTATGAGGAAAGAGAAAAGTGAGTTACTTTTTTTTGAAAGATAATTAGGTAAACATTTTAAAGTCTTCATTATATTTCTTAAAATTCGTGTCCCA